CAGCACCTGCCGCAGCTGCTCCCTGAGCCGCCATCGCGGTAGTGGAAGTGACGCAAGAGTTCGGCGCCGCGCTGCTCTTTCAGCCCCGGGTCGGCAGTACTGGGGGTGGAGTGTTTGACCTCAGGCTTGAGGGTGGGGTCTGTGACGTAGCAGCAGCTTATTGGTTCGTGGGGCCGTTCCCGTCGCCTAGCGGGTCGTTTTCAGTGTGGGTGGCTTGTAGGTCCCGGTTTTCCGTGGGAGTGTGGCTGCACCTTGGAGTTGAGGGCTGGAGACTGACTTTGCTGATGCAATGACTCAGTGCAGTCTTTTATAGAGGCCCTGGTGCCTGAGGATGCCAAGATGTGCTAATTTTCAGGGAAAGTGCCTCCCCACTTTAACAGGGCGAAGCCAGAGCAGCCTCCCAGTTTGCCTGGCATCAAGGTTGTGATCTTGAAATTAACACCCATCTCCGCGCTGCCAACTTGCGCCCGCTTAATACCGATCACCCCATTTTTGAATATTGAAGAAATTGTTTCCCTTGTTCTGGGTGGGGTAAAAGGTACAGCTGGGGTGAGAAAAGCAAAATGGGGTCTTGGGACAGCCAATAGGTCACATTAACAGAATAAAGCCTTTCTAAAAGTCCAGGCCCCCCCACACACACACCTCCTGGACTAGCTCAAGACAGTGGGTACAAGGGAGAGCATCTTAGGCATCAAGTTCTGACTCTGTTCTGCATAAAGTGTACAAGTATGTAGATTCTTTGTCAATAAAGGTTAAATTATAATCTATGTAAACCATATAAGTAAATGTTATTAAATCATGTCATCTATACAAGTGTATTGCATGTCGTAAGATAGATTAGGCACTAAATAAACATTCCCTTTGGCTATTCTCTGAACCTTCTTTGGTTATTGGGCTCAGAAATGATTCTGAGGGGTGGAATGCTCAGGCCTGAGGATGGGGCTCACAGATTACAGATCAAATATCTGTCAGATGAGTTAGATGTCCATGAGAAATAGTGCTGGGAAATGCTGGTAAATTTGGCTTTCAGGATTTGAAGGAGTTTGGGGGCCAGTGAATACCAGGTATCTACAGCATAAGAAACAGAAGAAATAAAAGTCAAGAAAAAAATTAAAATTCTAAGGACCAGCAGTTGGCGTAATGGCTATGTCACTGGACTGCCATGTAGTCAACTGCGGTTCGAGTCCCAGACCCAGTGGCTTAAACTCATGCCGGGCACGTGTGCATGCATGCCCAAGATCCCCAGAAGAGAATGGAAGAAAAGGGATTGTGGAGTGGCCATCTCCCCTGGGGGGTGATTTCTTGCTTTTTTGTCTCTCTATCTCTTTCTGTCTTTCTGGCGAATGCACATGCCCTATAGCGTAAGCCAGGATCCTGGAGCCATTATTTTAAAAAATAATTATTTTATTTAACTTTATTTATTTAGATTTGACCAGACAGGGACAGAGTGTGAGAGAGAAAGTTAGAAAGCAGGTCGCCAGGTCCAAGACTCAAACCATACTCAGCCATGTGGCAGTCCAGCACTCTTAACCACCCCACCTGTCCAGAATTCCAACCGCACAGTCAGCTATGTGGTGTCCAGCTGCCTTACCCACCATGTCACTGGCTGGCCCAGCTTTCCTTTTCCTTTGTTTTTTATAGAGAATTATTTATCCATTATTATTATTATTTTCAATTTGCTATAGGGCCGATGTGCTCACCTGTCCCCCGGTACCATTTTTAACTTCACCTGACACCTTCAGTTATGATGTCCTTTCTACTTATGGATTAGCCTAGGCCCAAATCCCTAATCAGGGTCACTGGATCAGCTTCCTCACTGTTCTCTCTCCAGTCCGCTGGCTCCCAGCGATTCTTCTGACATCCAGATCTCACTTTTCTTCTCTTGGGTCATCAGAAAAGTCGTAATATATTTTTCTGTTTCTCTATGCAAAAATGCATCATGACTTTTCTGATGACCCAGTAGAACCATGTAGGTACTCTATCCAGATCCCCAGGTTTCTTCTTCTTCTTCTTCTTCTTTTTTTAATTTGTAAAGGATGCCTGCATTTGCCAGAGAGGCATAGGAAATATAAGACAACTCTCTCCATGGGGGATGAGCACACCACAATTTTTTTTTTTGGAGAGGTTTTTTGCTTTAGGGCACGTGCGCTTGCCAGAGAGACAGAGAGAGACAGAGAGATAGAAAGCGAGAAATCACCCCCCCAGGGGGAATGGCCACACCACAATCCCTTCTCCTCCATTCTCCTCTCGGGATCTTGGGCACGCACCCACACGTGCCTGGCGTGAGTTTAAGCCACTGGGTCCGAGACTCAAACCGTGGTCGACTACATGGGAGTCCAGCAACATAGCCATTATGCTAACTACTGGTTCCACACAATTTCTTCTTATTCTCCTCCATCTCCCTCATTTTAGGGTTTCGGGCATGTTTTTCAAGCCACAGGGTCCAGAATTCCAACCGCACAGTCGGCTATGCGGGGTCCAGCTGCCTTACCCACCATGTCACTGGCTGGCCCAGCTTTCCTTTTCCTTTGTTTTTTATAGAATTATTTATCCATTATTATTATTATTTTCAATTTGCTATAGGGCCCATGTGCTTACTAGAGACAGAGACAGAGGGAAAGTAAGAAAGCAAGCTGTCAGATCTGAGACTTAAAGCAGCGTCAGCCATGTGGGAGTCCAGTGTCTTCATCACCATGCCACCTGCTGGCCCCACCCCTTTTTAAGTTCATTTCCAGAGAGAGAGGTGTGTGTGGGGGGGTGCCCTTGACAATGTGTTTACACCACAGCCTTTCTCCAGCCTTGCACCCAGCCGGGATCATGGGATGTTGCAGACCTGGGAAGCAAACCATCTTCCCACATGGCATCCAACATCAGCAGCACCCATACTGCCTGGGCAAGGTGGCTCTACCCACTAGGTTACCTCTGATGTGCTTTGAAAGGCTAGCCCAGAAGAGGCTCTCACAAACTGCCCTGAGAGCTGTTTTCCATGAAGAAGTTGTAAACACAAGTTTTCAACCTGAGAGTTGAAATACCTTCCCGCCCCCACATCCCTAACAGACTTTGGCCAATGATTTGTCAAGTGGAGGAATTAATCAACGACCGTGAAGCTTAGCCGTCTTGCCCCTGACTCAGGTGTAATTTACTGGCTCTGGACTTTTGCCCGAGATCACATCCTTGCTTGGTGTCCTCCCCCACTTCACCGTTTCCCTGCTGAGAGTACTTTCTTAATAATTCACTAGGACATAATCCTCCTGAGTCTATTTCTAAGGAATCCAGCCAGAAATATTCCTTCCTAGCTTAAAAATCCATCCCTAGATCCTTACTGCCTCCAGGATATAGAGCCTGTTTCAAAGCCCTGCACCCTCTGCTGCCTACCTCTCGCTTCAGCCCGCAGGATCTTCAGCCTAGCTAGTCACTGTGACTTCCCAATACCTGCTATTTGACCTCCAGATACAATTTCCTGTCTTCCCCCTCCCACATTTGTACCTAGTTTTTAATTAATCAAATTCTATTTGTTATTATTTTTTAATTTGACCAGAGAGAGACAAAGGAAAAGGGAATGCGAGAAAGCAAGCCACCAGGTCTGGGACGCGAACCACAGTCAGCCACGTGGGAATCTAGCGCCTTTAACCACCACACCACCTTTCAGCACCTATCTTCTTTTTTTTTTAATTATTTAATTTTATTTATTCATTCATTTATTTTAATTTGACCAGAGAGAGCCACAGAGAGAGAGAGAAAGAGAGAGAGAAAGTGAGAAAGCAAGACACTAGGCCCAGTACTCAAACTATGGTCTGCCATGTGGGAGTGTCCAGTGCTTTAACCACCATGCCACCCGCTGGTCCCTCCCCTTTTTTAAAAAAATAATTATTTTATTTGGGGGACCAGCGGGTGGCGTAGTGGTTGAGGTACGGGACACTCCCACATGGCCGACCACAGTTTGATCCTGGACCTGGCAGCTTGCTTTCTTTCTCTCTCTGATCAAATTAAAATATATTAATGAATAAATTAAATAATTATTTTTAATATTTATTTAATATTTATGTATTTATTTTAATTTGGCCAGAAAGGGACAGAGTGTGTGGAGGGGTGAAGTGAGAAAGCAAGGGCCAGATTCAGGACTCAAACCAGTCAGCCACGTGGGAATCCAGTGCCCCTCACCACCACGCCACCTGCGGCCTCCTTAACTTTTTTTTAAAAGAATGATCTTCTTACCATTTTTTAATCTGACCATAGAGACAAAGGAAAATTGAAAAGCAAACCTCCAGGCCTGGGACTTGAACCATAGTAGGCCATGTGGGGAGTCTAACACCTTAACCACCACACGACTTGCTGGCCCCAATTTCCTGTATCTTTTTTTATTATTATTTTATTTAACTTTATTTATTTTAGTTAGACCAGACAGAGACACAGAGAGAGAGAGAAAGTGAGAAAGCAAGCCACCAGGTCTGGGACTTGAACCATGGTCAGCCATGTGGGAGTCCAGCACCTTTAACCACCATGCCACCTGTCAACCCCAATTTCCTTTCTCTTAATGCCTCATCTTCATCACCCTAAAGGGTAGGAAATGGTATAGTGTCAAAGCCAGCATCAGGAAGGTAGCAGTCAGGGATCAGATGTGAAGTGACAGAGGTAAGACTCCTTCCCTGTCCTGCCAGGCAGGCCCTTCAGCCTTTTTTCTCCTTCCCTGGCAAGGTGAGTAGGGTGTTCCCACCTAAGACATGATCTGGAGTTCTGTTGCTCACAGGAAGTTCTGCTTCAAGTCTAACCTTGAGCCTACCTGCTATCCAGAGCCCTTTCCTTTTGCCCCAGTCCCTAGCCTTCCCTACTAGGGCCCCCACCATCTGCTGTGGTGGGAAATCCAGTCCCTGCTGGGGCCTGCCAGGGCACAACCTTGGGTGTTCCTTTCCTTGGCAGCAGTGGACACAGCTGGCAGGTAGTATTTTTAACCTTACTCAGGCTCAGGCATCAGGTGGCTCAGGAAGCTGCCCAATCTGTGACCTTCATCTCTAGAACTTGTGACTGCCAGAAAGGGAAGAGTCAGAACTAAGGACTGAAGTTGAGTCAACCTGGGCCTTCAATATTGTTCTGGAACCCAGAAACTTATTATTTTTAGTTTTGTTTTTTTTTTTTTTTTTTTTTTGTTTTTTTTTTTTTTTTTTTTTTTTTTTTTTTTGTCATAGGGCCCATGTGGTCACCAGAGACAGAGAGAGGGAAAGTAAGAAATCACCACTCCTCCTCACCCCCTCACACCCTAGCCCCCATGGCCACGCTGAAATCTTTCTTCTCCATTCTCCTCTTGGTATTTTGGGCACACACGTACACAGTCCCGGCATGATTTCCAAGCTGCTGGGTCCAGGCCTCAAACTGCGGTCAGCCATGTGGGAGTCCGGTACTTTAACCACCATTCTACCTACTGGCCCCTTCAAAAACATTTTTTAAATGAGAAGAGTGAAAGGTCTCTGCATAGGCTGCCAAAGTTACTTCCACTCCTACCAAATCAAACATGTAAGAGATTTAGGACCATTCCACTCCTAGTCTGCTAGGCTGTTGAGACACCTAGACTAGGGCACGAACTAGCTAAACCCAAGGGCCCAGGAACCTGAATGCAGGCAAAAACAAAAACTCACTTGCCCTCCCCACACACACGGCCCAAGAGGGCATTCAAAATGTGCACTTTAATAACAAACGATAGGTCAAAATGAGGGTTCCCCAGGAACGAGAATAACGGAGCTGGTGCTGGGTCCCTATTTCCTCCCATCCAAGGCCTGGAGGCAAGAAAGCAGTGGGCCCTGGTGAGGAGAAGCGGCACCCGGCCCCATATACGTCCATCTGGCTGGGGCCCTAAGACCCAAGATGCAGCAGCGAGTGGAGCAGAGTGCCACCCTGCTTGACCCAGGAGGTCCTGGCAGGAAGTGTGGCCCAGGCTGGGCAGGTGAGCAGGCCAAAGGTTGTGGGGTCAGATTCGGAAGCTTTCCTCCCGGCCATCAATGTGGCGGAGCCGCAGATAGACGTCTGTGCCGATGCCCTGCAGGGACTGCAGCTGCAGGGAACCACCAAGGTATTCCGCGTAGGCCCGTGACGTGGGCAACCCGAAGCCAAAGCTGAGGGTGGGCAGGGGGATAGCACAGGGGGCTTCAGAGGCTTGACTCTCCTGGGCCCCCCACCACTCCATCCTAGCCAGGTGGGACCTCACCCGTGCATAGGTCCTGATTGGCCACCGCTATGCATGTCCAGGTGACCAAAGAGGGGGCTGATCCGGGGGTCCTGGGTACTGGCCTCTGCCGTAGTGAAGTGATAGTCCATGACCCGATCCAAGTCTTTGTGAGCAATTCCTCCACCCCGGTCTGAAATCCTGGCAGGATGTCAACAGCATAGGTTTGGCTCAGCTTTGCTAGAGGGCTCACTACCTCCCAAGCAAACAGTGCTAAGTCTGCCTTCCTAGCCCTTCAAGGTAGATAGAATGTGACCTACCTAGTCCGTTGGGCCTTCTTCATATAAGCTACATTTCTCCATCCTCACCTCTGCCTGGGCTACTGACTGCTTGTAGCTCTGCACAGGATTTGATATTTATTCTGAGCCTAGCCTCACAAACAAGCCATTCCTATTTCCCAACTCTAAGCCCCTCAATTGTTGAGAGAGGCAGGGCCCTGGGGTCTGCAGCTGGCCCCAGATCCATTAACGTCCAGCTCATGGCAATCACGGGACTAGAGAATATCTTGGCTAACCAGGGACTAAGTCCCAGAGTCAGGTAGGTACTGGCTCAAGGTCCTACAGTCAGTCAGAAACAGTGCCTGGGACCCCCATCCTCCCAGCCCACCCCTACTCAGGGCAAACCTGATGATGAGATCAATGTCATTGTTGGCGATGGTGATGACCACATCGGGAACATTGTAGGGAGTGTCAAGGTGACTCTCCATCGTAGCTCTATGGAGGGGAGAAAGACCAGTGAGTGGTGGCACCCCAGTTCCCATCTGCACCCCCACCCAGCATATCCAACCAGCCTACCTCATGGCATTCTTGAGCAGCTCAGGCAGGATGTAGTCCAGTGGCATAGGGATAAAGGGGAAACGCGACGCCACGTGTCCATTGATGCGCACGCGAGGGGCGTTGCCGTACTTGTGCTCACACAGTCTTCTGCGGATAGGAGCAAAGGTTCAGACCGGTGTTCTAGCCCAGTGCTCCTCAACTGGAGGCAGTTCTGCCCCTCAGTGGACATCTGGCAATATCTAGAGACATTTTTGCTTGTCACAACTGGGAGAACCATTGGCATCAAGTGAGTAGAAGCCAGGAATCCTGCCAAACATTGTAACATGCACATAGTCCCCCCACAGCAAAGAATTACCTGGCTCAGGATGTCAATAGCACCAAGGTTAAGACACCTGACATTAGATCATACCCTAAGCCTTCCCGGCCCCAAGACATCCACCCCTTAACCATTCTAATCTCACCTGGCAAAGTCCACCCACTTTTCGATAATCTTCTTTGGTGAGAGACGAGTGCAGATAATGCCAACAAAGTCAGGCTGGCAGGACAAAGAAGGTCAGAACTACAGCACCTCCACCCCCACCTTAGCCGCCAAATGCTTGCAACTTCTGGACTGTCAGAGCAGCCCCAAAACCTCTCCCCTGGCCCTGGGCCCAGGTCTCCAGCCCATGCAGGCCCCTGGCACAGTCTCCTCTGCCCCACTTAACATTCCCCAGGTGGTCTCAGGTCCCAAAGCCCCACCTTGTCCTCATGTAGCGCCAGGTGATGGGTGGCCAACATGCGGATCCCTAGCCTTGAAGTCAATGTCTTGTCCAAGAAGTAGCGGACAAGCTTTTCATCCTATAACAAATGGGATTTCAGAAACCCTGTGCCTCTTCCCCCACTCCTACCGCACCTGGACTGCTGCCCCTGACCTCTATGTGTTTCCGACTTTCACGCAGGCCCTCGGCTAAAAGGGTCACCACATCCTTGTGGTCGTCCAGCAGCTGTCGAACCAGCTGGCAGTACTGTGCCTCGTCCGCTTGGTCCTTGATCTGCAGGTTAGAGTCATGAGCAGGGTGGTCCAACTCTAACCTCTCAGCCCCTCACCCTGCTCTGGCCCAGCCCTCACCGGAGGGAAGTCTGTCAGCTTCTGGAAGGCACGGATGTACAGCTCGTGCTGCAAAGAAGAGGCATGGGAATTCACAAGGCTGCCATGGGCACTGGGTAGAGAACAGCCACCCATGCCTCCATGGGGATCAACACCCATCCCAATTCATGTGGTTCAAATCCCCACTGTGACCGCTGTGGTCTGCATGAATATGCAGCCTTGGCCTCCGAAGGCCTGGGCTGAGTCCTGGGTGGCCCTGATAGCTTTCAGCAGGCAAGTCTCCACCACTGTGAGCCCCAGGCTCCCCATTTGCTTCTCATGCAGTGGGTCCCTGACCTAAGGTCCCCTCTGCCTTACCACATGCAGTATGGTGGGGTTGCAGCCAATGATGAAAGGAAGGCTGCGGAAGCCCTTGACACGGTGAGCGATTCTCACTGGCAGCTCTTGCTGCAGATACCGGGCACTTTTCTAGAAGAAAACAAGGAGGGAAGGCAGGGTCAGGGCTTTAGTGGCCAGACCAGAGCCCCAGCTGCCCAGGGAATATAGAGGGTAGGAATCTTACCAGAAGGTGGCTGCCATCCTGAGAGCGGCCGGAATACAGCATCATAGTAGGAGTGAGGCGGACTGACGGCTGGAGGGGCAGATGGGCCTTGAGCACTAGGCCTTCAACACCCTGCTCCCCCCACGTGAGCTCTGCCCTTTTCCTGCCACTCCCGACCCCCTTGTCTCTTTTCCCCAGCTGTGCACCGACCTTCTCTGCTGCGGAATCGATGGCTGACTGGTTGTAAAAGGAGGTAACAGTCTTGGAGCGCTCCCGCGCCATCTCCACTTGGTGTGTATCGGTGGCAGAGGTCGAGCGGGCCCGAAGCAAGAGTGCTGGACCCAGAAGGGGCCTGAGAGGAGGCCCGCCTCGGGGCCCACTCCCTAGCACCGATGCCAGTATCATCGTCCTGCTCCTTCGTCGGACTGGACGGCCAGTAGGACCCGACAGACGTTGGCGGCCCCAAAAAGGGGAAAGGGAGGTGAGGGTGGATAGAGACTCTTCTCTGACTTCAGGGGCAAGGGCCCGTCGAGGGTGCTGACAAGCTCAGCCCCGGGGGAGCAGCTCCCATCTACCGCGGCGGGGGAAGGGGAAATTGTAAGGATCCGAATCCAGGAGACCCGAACCAACTTTCCAAGTGAGCACCGGTATCCTGAGACCTGAGCAATCTCTGCCCACCCTTTAGGCCACCTCCTCCAAAACATACAGGGCAAGCCGGGACGACCTTGCTTTCCGGAGCTTCTATTTTTCAACCTGAGGCTATATCTGTGGTCTAGGGAGAGATCCTCAGACATTTCCAGCCCCAAAACTCCCTTTGTGGGCTCCCTATGTTTGGCACCCTTGTTCAGGGGGCGGGGCTAACCCCTACCCAGCACCTTCGGCTCGGGTCCCGGGAGCCTGGCCTACGGACGAGTGACACACAGGACTGTACGCCCTGGGGCCGGCAGCATCGAGCCTGCAGCCCAAAGGTCCCCGTCTGACTTCTCCCTTCGCGGAATCACTTGGTTCGCCCCGGATCCCCCCCCATATGGTAGATCCCAGCCCGTCCCGAGTCCGGACGCACTCCCACGCTCCCGCGCAATGGCGGAGGCTGCGGACGTGCGCTCTGGCGCCCGGGCGGGCAAGATCTGCGCGAGTTGCCCTACTTACCGCGGGGCCAGAGCCTGGGCCTGGGTCTGAGCAGAACGGCCCAAACAGTCGACCGCCGGGCTCCGGGAGCCGCCTGCGCCCTCTGCCGCCGTGACGTGGCGCGGGCTGTGGGCTCCCGCTGCCTTCTGGGAGTTGTAGTTTGGCGCTGATGATTCGCGCCCAGGGTCCCAGCTACTCCCCTCTCCCGGACCGCAGATAAACAGCACCCTCCACCACAGGGCTCTAGGAGTTATCTGTGGTCTCTCTGGGCCTGTATTCTCCGCTTTATAAAATGAGCTCGCTGGGAACAAAGCGGAAGACCCTTAGATGTAAAGCACAGAAGATGAGACCTTACCTGACCGTTTCTCTGAGGTCTTTTCTCTTTCCAGCTCTTGGCTCATTTATGAGAAACTAGACTGCTTGTTCCAACCTCACCTTGGCCTTTTACTATCTAGAGCTAGTTACTTAACTGCTCAATGCTTTAATTTCCATATTGGTAATAGGATGAATCAATCTTGGGGTTGTGTGGATTACATACATTTACATGTGTAAAGTGCCTAGAATGGTGACAGGAGTATAGTTAGCATTATACAAGTATGAGGGGGTTATTATTTATTCATACCTGCAATGAATGCAAGTCACATTGTCTGAGTGACTTTTCTGGGCCAGAAGAAGAGGTTGGGTGGTGAATCAAATGGATGTTTTCAGGCCCTGAAGGGGAAGACAGACATTTTCAATGTGATCAGGAGGCTGCAAGAACATTAGATCGGAGGTGGACCTTAGTACTGATGCGGTATGAATAGGAGTTGACCAGGCATGGGAGCTGGGATGGGAAGGGTGTGGAGGCTAGAGAACAGCCTGGGTGATCCAAGGATATGAGTGAAGCCATGTGGAATCTGAGAAGGATGGGGCTAAAAGGGGTGGCCAGCAGTTCAGAGGGTAAGAAGTGTGCATTTATCCTGAGGTAGTAAGATACCTCTGAAGGGTATTAACTCATGTACTCTAATCCTCAGAGCCCTCTAGCTGCAGGGATGAGACAGGAGGGTGGTGGTGAAACCAAAGGCAGAAAGAACCATGAGGAGACAATTACTTGATCGAGGCAGGAGGTGATGGGAGAGGCTGCCCAGAAGTTGTTTTTGTACTGATTGCATTTTTTAAAAATAATTCTTTTATTTAACTTATTTATTTATTTTCATTTGACCAGAAATGTACAGAGTGAGAGAGAGAGAGAGAGAGAACAAGTGAAAGAGCAAGCTACCAGGTCCAGGACTCAGACCATGGTCAGCCATGTGGAAGTCCAGCACCCTTAACCACCACACAAACTACCGGCCCCTGACTGCATTTTTACCATGGCTACATATTTTCTAAATATTCTAATCTTTTTTTAATGAAAGTGATGGGCCAGCAGGTGGTGTGGTGGTTAAAGGCACTGGAAAATTCCCACATGCCGGACCATGGTTTGAGTCCTGGACCTGGTGACTTGCTTTCTCAATTTCCCTCTCTTTCTGTGTGTTCTGTCCGATCAAATTGAAATAAGTGAATGAATAAACAAAAGCAAATAAATAATTCTTTAAAAAAAAAGAAAGAAAGAAAGTGATGGGACCAGCAGGTGACATAGTGGTTAAGGCATTGAACTCCCCCACATAGGTAACTGGGGTTCAAGTCCTGGACCTGGTGGCTTGAAACTCATGTGAAGTGCTTGCGCCTGCCTGCCCAAAATCCTCAGAGAATGGAGGAAAAGGGATTGCATCACGGCCACCCCCCACCCTGAAAAGGGTAAGTTCTCACTTTCTGTCTTTCTGTCTCTGTCTTGGTCTCCAGCAAGTGCATGTGCCCTTACAGGAAAAATATCTCTCTCAAAAAGAAAAGAGTTAAGTGATGCAGGGCTCTTTGGAGGCTGGCTTTAAACTTGGAGTGGAACTTTTTACCTGGCCTGCTTGAGGAACTGGGAAAGGTGTGCACTTACCACGGAAATGGGCTCCCCAGCCTCTGGACTTTTCTCTTGCTCCCCACCCCCACATCGTTTTCATCCCTTCCTTTTCAACATCTAGCAACGTCCTGGAGTAGAGCCAGGAAGCAACTCTTTCTCTAAGGTAGGCTCGCCTGGAGCCCGTGAAAGAAGGGAGAAGGGTGCTCCTGGCAGTGAGCGCAGCCTGCGCAAAAACGCGAAGGCCTGGGAGTGCACGTTGTGCGCCAGAACTGGGCGCTCACGTGGCTGCGGCGTGCACAGGAGCCGGGGGAGGAGGCGGCTGTGGTTTCCCCAGAGGCGGGAGGTGTCTGGTAAAGGCTTCACCCCATTTGACCCAACGAACTGGACCAAATTCTCTGCTGCCCCCGGCGGCGGAGGCTGGCCCCGCCCCCCGCGAGCCCCTTTCAGAGTATGGTACCTACCGTGCCAGTTTACCGCTGGCCTGGAGCTCTTCCAAGCGCTATGAATGCACTGATTAATCTTTATGACGACTCTCTGAGGTAGGAACTAGTAGCTTCATTTTACAAATGGAAGAATCGAAGCTTAAAAAGATGCTCTGTTTTCTCTCTGCCTTCACTCAGACTCGCTGCTCCAGCCGCACCCACCTGTCCACCTCCCTGCAGTTCACTGAACATGCCAGGCACATTCCACCTCCTCGGGGCCTCTCACTGGCTCTTCCTTCTACACGGGCCACCCGTCCCCTAGATATCCAGAGTTCGCTCCGTCCTTCAAGCTTTTGCTTAAATGTCAATTGAAGCCCACCCCATCCATCCTATTTTTAAATGCAATAATCTCCATTCCCCTCACTTTTCTCTATTTTTTTTTTTTTGGAGAGATTTTTTGCCATAGGGCATGTGCGCTCGCAAGAGAGACAGAGACAGAGACAGAAAGTGAGAAACACACACACACCCTGGGAGGGGGGGCGGGAGGTGTTGGCCACGCCACAATCCCTTCTCCATTCTCCTCTGGGGATTTTGGCCAAGGAAGTACACGCACCTGAGGCGGCAGTTTTAAGCTCCTCCCCCTATCTTCCCCCTCCCCGCCAAGTAGTTCAGCGCCTTGACCACTACGCCACCTGCTGGCCTCGTTTACTTTTTATATTAGCGATAAGTTACCACTAGTAACATACTATGTACTGTATGTATTCTTTGTTAATTCCTCATCCCCCCCTTTTCTACAACGTAATACAAGAGCATGACTATTTGCTGCTTTACTGATTTATCCCATGCCCCTAACACAGTCCCTGACACAGCAGGCGCTCAATAAACATTTGTTAAATAAATGAGGGAAATACTGGGTTTTATTTTAGGATTTATTGAATCAGGATGATACTGAAAGACAGAGAATGGTGGCCAGCAGTTGGCTTAGTGGTTAAGGCACTGGATTCCCACATGGCCTACTGCAGTTCGAGTCCTGGACCCACCAGCTTAAAATTCACATTGTGTGTGTGTGTGTGTGTGTGTGTGTGTGTGTGTGTGCTTGCCAGCATCCCAAGAGGAGAATGGAGGAGCAGGGATTACAGCATGGCTATAGCCCCGGGGGATCATTTCTCACTTTCTGTCTCTCATGTCTAGTGATCGCATACACCCTATAGCAAAAATCTCTCCAAAAGAAAAAAAGAAAGGCAGAGATTGACAAAACTACATGTTTATTTTATTTTGTATGTGTGTGTATGACAGAGAGAGAGAGAGGAGAGGAAGAGAGAGAGGTATTTTTGACAAGGTCTCTGTGTGGCAACCCTCCTGTCCCAAGCTCCCAGGTAGTTAGGATCACAGGCGGGTGCCACTGTGCTTGCCCACGTAGCTTGGGCCAGGAACCAAACCTAGGGCTCTCATGCAGCCTCAGCCACTTGTGCCACTGTAGCTGGACTTGCTTTTTTTTTTTTTAAGTTTATTTCTCTCTTTCTTTAGAATTATTTATTTTAATTTTATTTATTATTATTGTTTTTACACTTGACCAGAGAGAGATGGGGGGGGTTAGCCTCCAATTCTGAAACTCGAACCATAGCCATGTGGGAGTCCAGCATCTTAGCCACCATGCTACCTGCTGGCACCTGAAAATTATTTCTTTCTTTCATGAGAGTGAGAGACAGAGAGAGAATAGAAGAGAAAGACTACCACCCCCAACAGAATCCCATGCAGCAATTCCTCCCCAGCCCTCCAGCCAGCCAGAATCATGGCTGCAGGCACCCAGCACGTACAGGTCAACCAGGCAACTGAACCCACAGTCTTCCACACAGATCCAGCACTGCCGGAGCAGCACACCACCGCTGTGCCACTGAGCCAGCTCCATATTGTTTTGTTTTGTTTTTAATTTGTTATGGGGCATGTGTGCTCACTGGAGATGTGAGAGAGAGAGAGAGAGAAAGCACCCCCTAGGGAGGATGACCACACTGTAATCCCTTCTCCACTCTCTGGGGGTTTTGGACACACATCCCTACACACCTGGCGTCTTTTTCAAGCTGCCAGGTCTAGGACTCAAACCACACTGTTGGCCATGTGGGATTTAACCATCTTAACCACCACACCCCTATCTTTATTTTTGTAAAGGATCGCCCTCGCTGTGTGGAGAATGGGTCTTGGGGTGCAGGACCGGTCTATGTGAGAGACCAGTAAGAGGCTACTGCGGTTATCAAGGTGAAGTGATGACGGCTTGGACCATGATAGTGGTCAATGAGGAGTGACTTGGGCAGATGAAGGGACCATCCCTCAACAGGAAACCCCAAAGGAAGAACAAGTTTGGGAGAGCTAAGGGGTTCAGTTTTGAAGGTCAGGAGAGAAGTCTGGGCTCTGGTCAGACATTGGAAGTAGGTAGTACAAGGAGGCATGGGAGCTAACCGGTGGTCCAGGAGTAACATAAACTCTGCAGGCTGGCCTCACATGAGAAGGTCCTGAGTTCATATCCAGAGGCCACCTGTACATGCCAGGCACATAGGCACATGTGTGTTTGTAATCCTGGCTGGCTGAGCATGAGGACCCTGTAGGGGTCCTTTCCCCCTCCTTCTGTTCCCCCCTCTCTCATTCCCTCTGTCTCTGTCATGGTAAAAATAAAGGAATAAATCTCAAAAAGACATAGGAGCATATAATGTGCACCATGTGGCAGATCCTATTTTTCTTTTACTTTATTTTCTTTAGAGGTTTGCACCATAGGGTGCATGCGCTCACTGGAGAG